GGTAGTGGTGGTGGTGGTGAAATAGTCAAACTATGTGGGTCAGTATTGCTAACTGAAGGCGTGAAGGAATACATCATCAACTTACTTTTTCAGCTGTTTGTATCCTGCTTAACAACTTGTTATTAGCCAACAAAATTAAAATCACACAGATCAAAATTCTTTTTGTTAAAATTTTGCAAAGGTTTGAGAAGGTTAACTGAGAGAACCACAGTTCAAATGAAAACCCAGTAAAAATTAATCTGCACAGAATACTCAAATAGCCTTGAGAATGATTGAGAGACACCCTGCACTCATCTGATTTTGTAAGGTACATCACAACTCTATCCTTCATTGAGTACCTGCTGGAAATCCCAGTTCAAATGAAACAGCCTAATGAAGATCTTATGTAACCTATTTATCCTTAACACCCTTATAATGCAAGATTTCTCAGTGGTTTAGAAGCTCAGAGAAGAAAAAGTAGTAGGACCTGAGTCTGGATTTCACATCTTTATTAAGATGTTGATCACATGCACCTTCCCGTTTAGAAGGGAGCATTTTACCAAATTATTGCATATTTCACAATTCATTAACTCAATTGAGTTTGGCTCAGTTTCAACCAACATGATATGAGATAATATGATATAATTAATTCTCCCATCCAGCTGCTAAACATTTCCTTGTAAATTAGTTATGAGAATTTAATGTTAAATCAAGATAACAACTTGTACCCAATATGTTTGAGTATTTTCATTACCTGTTTGCTAAATAATATATGGATATTTTAGGGAGAAGTTACATGTTAATCACTTCTGGGACTTAAAGGGTTAAGTGACAATGAATCACAAACTGAATGTCAATCATTATCAACAAGATCATTCTCTTGTCAAGGCTACCAGTATGTATAACTGTATGCGACGGGTGCGTAGTACTTAAAATACTTCACTTTATGAATACCAAAACACCCTGAGTTTGTTTTAAGTGAACCCTTCCAACAAAGATCAACCTTGCTTACATTATTTCTAAGTTTGTCAGAAATAAGTATATCAGTCTGATCAATTACTTAGTATCCAATTTTGGACATAGTGTCTCTAGTGAGTGCTCCAAAGAGATATTGAAAATTTTGTCCAATGAAATATCTATGCAGTTATCTTTGAATAATTAGAGAGGAATTTAAAATAACAACAATTATTGTTTTCAAATTAAATCATATTAGTACTCAAAAATGTTTTGTGCAGAATTATCAAGTGTATTGTACTTTTAATTGCAAGTAATTTTGAGCTCAAATCTCTCTCTCTTCTAAATTTTTATACTACTAACACTTCTTCTTTTCAAGGTTAGTCCATCACAACAACAACAACAAAAAATTCCCAAAAAATTTTCAGATTTCTTGTTACTCAAACACACAAAGGAATAAGCAGGGAAAGAGATGTCCAAACTTACCACTAACTTACCATTATACAGATCAGCGCTCTTAAATATATCTATAACTAAGCAACACCTTAAAAAGTAAAATAAATTATCCTACATCTATTAAAACAATTATGATAAATAATATTAAAGGTATAGGTTTGATTAAAACACTTGAACACCCTCACTACTGCAAATATCCCTTCCCATACTTGCACCATGTTTAATTTTCTACCTGGGTGCAAAAAAAAGAATTCCCCCATTTATTGCTTAAGTCAAAAGAAAGCTGAATTTTCCACAACTCTCCACTCAGATGTGGTGAATTTTGCTAATCCATGTAACAGCCTTGTTCACTGGTGTCAAACATGCATGGATCATCACAAAAAAGGCAAATGGAGCTGAAAAAAAAACACTGATGGTTAAGAGTGATATAGAAATCTACACCCACACAAAGAAAAATATAAGAAAATCACAAAAAGGCAAATGGAGCTGAAAAAGAAAAATACTGACTGTTAAGAGTGACATAGAGATCTACACCCACACTAACAAAGACAAATATAAAAATTTAAACAAAGAGACAAAAATGTGGCTGGTGTATGGAGTATAAAAATTCTGCCTTTAAACCTGCATATTAGGTCAGGGTTAAAACAATACATTTAAGGGAAGTCAAGTCTGAGAGGATTTAGCAGGCTGACTCTACAAGACAATTTGTTTTAATTTATAAACTGAGTTGATAAATAAAATAAGGTAAATTGGCTACTGTAAAGAGTTTGTAAAGCTGAAGTTTCAAGCATTAGCCTTCTGT